ATCATAAAATATAATAATAAAAAAATCATATAATATAAAAAGGGTAAAAATAACGATATTTCGACCAAAATTTGTGCTTCTTCGGTCTAGTTTCGATCAAGTTTTGCTCAAAAATTTTAAGAAAATCTTGTCCCTACTATAAAAAAGAATTAAATCAAACAAAACAAACTAAAATAAATCATGTGAAACAAACAAAACAACATCAATATCGATTTATTTTTGTTTTTTTGCGCGCGTTTTAGGAATATTTTGAAAAATAAAATAATATAAATTTCGATATAATTTGGACATTTTTAGTGATTTTTTTTTACCCATTTTAGCAATTTTGGACAAACAAGAGTATGTTTTAATTAATTTAGTATTATTTCGATTTATTTTTGAGAAAATTTGCCGAAATCATTGATTTCCTGATTGAAAAATGACCAAAATGCTTGAAAAATACGAAAATTGTAAAATTTTCATAAAAACCTCAGATTTTAGTTCATAATGTACTTCAAAGTTTGAAACGGGCAAAAATAACAATTTTCTCAATTAAATTTTGGCTTATTTTTGCCTAGATTTTGCTCAAAAATCGTTAAATTAAGTGAAATAAACGAAGTAACATAAATTTTGATCTATTTTTGTGATTTTTTGACGTTCATTCAAAATAAATGAGTCTCTGGGTCAAAAAAGTGCTAAATCGAGAGAAACAAACAGCTTCGAGATAATTTGGTAATTTTTCAGCCAGTTTTAGCGAAATTTGTTGAAAAAAAGTAATATTTCAAAAACAAATAACACCATTTTTTAATTAATTTGGTGGTTTTTCAACTTTTTGAGAAAATTTTTCGAAAAAATTTGATTTTCTGATTGAAAAACGTCCACAATGCTTGAAAAAAAATAACAATAATATAATTTTCCCTAGAACCTTAGATTTTAAGTCAAAAACTTGGTTCCCAATTTAAAAAAAAAAGGTGAAAATAACGATATTTTGCACAAATTTTGTGCTTTTTCGGCTTATTTTTGATTAAACTTTGCTCAAAAATCAGTTAAATCATGTGAAACAAACAAAATAACATCAATATCGATTTATTTTTGTTTTTTTACGCGTTTTAGGAATATTTTGAAAACTATCAAAAAATAAACTAAAATAATATAAATTTCGATATAATTTGGACATTTTTAGTGATTTTTTTTACCCAATTTAGCAATTTTTGGACAAACAAGAGCATGTTTTAATTAATTTAGTATTATTTCGATTTATTTTTGAGAAAATTTGCCGAAATCATTGATTTTCTGATTGAAAAATGTCCAAAATGCTTGAAAAGGATAAAAATAATATAATTTTTTTTAAACCATAGATTTTAATTCAAAAACGTGGTTTCCAATATAAAAAAGTTAAAAATAACGATATTTCGGCCTAGTTTTGCTCAAGAATTTTAAGAAAATCAAAAATCAAACAAAACAAACTAAAATAATTGAAAATTGAACGGTTTTTTGGTAGTTTTTCACACAGTTCTAGTAAAATTTGTTCAAAAAAAATCATGCTCAAAATAAAGGCAAAAATAACATAATTTTTGGCCTAATTTGGTGAAATAATGTGCTAAAACATTCGAAAAAATACAAAAAATGTAATTTTTGACCCAGCTTAGGTGGTTTTTCGACTTTTTGAGAAAAATAATACTAATCTTGGCGTAATTTGATGAATTTTTGACTTGTTTTTAGCGAAATAATTGTGTGAAAAAGGTAAAAACTGTAATTTTTTACCCAAATTAGCGATTTTTTTCTCTGTTTAGGCAAATCATGCAAAATTTAGTGATTTGTCAAAAGAATTGAGTTTCTGGCTGAAAAACACGCGAAAGAGGTAATTTTTTACCGAATTTAGGGATTTTTTGACTTTGTTCAGTGAACTCTTGTCAAAAATAATTAATTTATTTTTTGTCGAAATAATTGATTTTGTGACTGAAACACGATCAGAATGCCTAAATAATAAAAAAAATTAATTACACCATTCCCTGGTGTAATTTGGTGAAAAATCTGTCAGAATTGACAAATCTACAAAATAGGTTAGATTACTAAAACTAGGAGTGCCAACTTGACAGTGCAAATGTCACCAAACCGGTCTGGGTTAGAGATGGGATTTGAGTGGATTTTTTTTTCAGAATCCCCGACGAATGGGTGACGGAGAAAGAGTACGTGCCGATGAAGTCGGTGCCCATCTCTTCGCTGCATCCAGCAGCCAAAGACGTCCTCATCTCCTACTTGTTTCCTTCCGCTAAACAAGAACGGCGTCGCAAACCCATCTCAAAAAAACAACAACAGCAACAAACGTGATATAAATTTTTTGTTAATAAATTATACGATAATTGTAAAAAGTCATGAGTGAGCCTTTGTAATAATAATAATAATAATAAACCCATGCTTGTGTTCAGACTGGTTTTCCACCAGTCATTTTAGGATTTTTCGTTCGGATCTCGCTTGCAAAGGTTTGCTCGTTTTCGATTGGTCAAAAAAAAAAAAAAAAAATTCGTATGGGAGCACGATTGTATATTTGTGAAGTCTTTCACGTGTACAGAATGTATAGTAGCCGGAAACGGAAAGCTTTTAACCGTTTTTGCAACCAGAAAATCACTGCCAACTGGTTTTATAGTTAGAAACTTTCTGATAGACTAATTAATCTTATTTTAGTTAATTTGTGTGTTCGCAATATTTACAAAGTAGTTTAGTTGATTTTCAGCTGGGACGCGGCCACTTTTCACGAGTTTCCAAACTGTGATAGCATTTTTTCAGTCGCGTTTCAGCGTTCCTTCACATTCCTTTCGCTCGTTTTATTTATTTATGAAATTGAACACTGCCAGTTTCACTGCCATGACACATTTCGTGCCATTTTTTGTGTTCTTGATCTCAAAAAAAAACAATTCCTGGCCTGAAACACCGCCAAATGAGCCAAAGAATCACAACTTTGGCGGCGCTTCACGCGGGAATTCGGCCATTTCGACATCAAAAACTGTACTTAAAATTTCATTTTGCTCATCACCATTATAGACTGAAATTCATCAATTATTTATTGACTGATTTAGTTGTAACTTCTTTTCAGTGAGCAAACTTGGTTTGTAAATAACATAGTTTAGTTTTTAATAACATAGAAAAGTAACTTTTGTAAACTATTCTTTTACAATGCATAAAGTAAGACTGTGCGAAATTGTAATATCATAACCGTAGGTAATTTTATACTGGGTTTTTTTTTTTTTCGTTTTTTTGTCCTTGGAGATTGTTAGGCTTGACAAGAAATATAAGTGTTACGTAATTAATGGGCAAGTTTATGAGCTGTTTGGACTTTTAATTATAAGTGTTAGTGGACGAGTAGAATATTTTATTATAAAGAGATGTGACAAATAAGAAATTTCATTATCCTAATTGGTGTTTTCAGAATAGCGAAATGGTAATGACGGGAGACAATTTCCAACTTGCATTGTAAATATAGTTAAATAAACCTAATTTAATGTCTTGTGAAATTCCGTTTTTGTTATTGGTAACATGAACAAATTCTACCTCACTGATTTTTATTTTAGTTTTATTATCCTTAGTGTTTTTTAAGTTACGTTTAATTTAGTAGTCTTAAGACTGGAGAGTTTTGCGTTCATTCAACTATTTGACATTTCACTGCATTTTATTTAATATTAATAAACTTTTGTGATTCGACAGAATTTTCAATTTATCAATGTATCTATTCTAATGAGAATAAATCTGTAAATAACAACTTTGTTTCTTTCTTTGCGAAATTGCGCTTTTATTATTGCAACTGCAGGCGTGATATTTTGTATTTTTGTAAATTGGGCTTGTGGTTGATTTTTCACTCAGATAAAAACGCATTTCGCACATAACCCCAAATCTGCGACACTATTTAAACTTTTTAAGAAATCCATTTTTTTTACCGAATTTAAAAAAAATTAAGTGTCATTGCATGGAATTATTTGGTTTATATTGTTTGATGAATTATAATTTTCGGCCTTTTTCAGTCAGAAAATGCATTATTTCCCTAAATTTTCTCAAAAATAATTCGGAAAATCACAAGCCTTGTTTAACTAAAGAGGGTTAAAAAGTGGCTAAGTTGGGTCAATATTTTTACCTTTTTCGAATGTTTTAACACAGCTTTTGATTGGAAATACAATTATTTTGTAAATTTCGTTAAAAACAAGGCCAAAAATGATGGTTTTCTTGAAATAATAGTTTTTGCCAATAAATTTCGCTAAAACTGTCTGAAAAATTACCAAATTATCTTAAAGTTGTTTGTTTCTTTCGATTTAGTACTTTTTTGACCCAGAGACTCATTCATTTTGAAAGTTTTTGTGAAAAACACGTCAAAAATAGGGGAGAAAGCTACGTTATATCGCTTGTTTCACTTGATTTAAACAATTTTTGAGCAAAAATAAGCCGAAAAAATACAAATTTAATTGAAAATATTGTTATTTTTGCCTGTTTCAAACCCTGAAACACACGTTTTGAACACTAAAATCTAAGGTTTTTTTTTAAAATTACATAATTTTCAAGCCTTTTGCAGCTTTTTTCTAAAATCTAACTTTTCTCAAAAATAGTCAAAAATTACCGAATTAAATTACAAAATGGTTTTATTTGCTTTGTTTTTACAGGATTTTTTGAGACAAATTTCACTAAAACTGGCTGAAAAATGTTCAAATTAAATCACAATTTCACTGAAATAAAAACACATTTCGCACATAACCCCAAATTTAAATTTTATAACAAACCAAATTTCCAATTTTTATTTTTTTTTTGTAATTATCTGAAGCCACGTTTTTATTTATTATTTGGAATAATCGAAATTATCTTTAGATTGTCTGAAATTATTTGTGAATTAGTGGCATTTTTCTAGAACTACTGAAATTCTTTTGGAAAGACGGATCTGAAAAAAGTCAAAGCTGAAAAATTTCAGGCGTTAATTACGTTTTCATGCAATTTATTTTCAATTTTTAGATTGATTGGACTCTCGATGTCACCCGTCACGAAGGATGTCAACATTTTTCTTGTTTTAAATTATTTTATTTTTTAATACCTCAATGTTGAGGTTGAAAAATTTTTGTTTGTGTTAAACGATCAGTTTAGAAGAGTGAAATTGAGTTTTGTATTTTGTTTTAAATAAATTATTTGTTCCTGGTTGTTGATTGTTTAATTGGAAAGCCCCGATTGTCAAAAAAAAAACATTTTTTTTGTTCAGAGAATTTTCATTAAAAACAAACTTTGTACTTACTGATTTTTTTAACTTGGAATAACTCACTATTTTTTTTAAATAAATTTACAAAAATTAAGTGTGGTGTGACATTTCAGTAACTGAATTGCGCAAGTCAACCGACATGTTTAGTACCACTTGATTGACTTTTCTTGTTGGTGGGTTTGCCCATAGATGGCTCTTGGGTGCTAACACGTGACTTGTGGCCAATAATGGAGCTTGTCAGAGGTAACCAAAAGTTTTTCAACCCGAAATTAAACTACTCTATTTTTACAAAATAGACCGAGAAATCACAAAATTAATTACAAATTGAGTCAACAGAGTCAAAAAAGTTACTAAATGAGTCACAATTTCCAAAAGTTTAACTTTTTTCGAGTGTTTTAGCTGATTATTTCACCCAAAAATGGCCTCTTTTGATTTTTTTTTTCAACAATTTTCCCTGGGACTAACTAAAAAGAATACCAAATAATCGTTGAATTTTTTATTGTTTTAGTTCTTTTTGTTCGATTTAATTCTTCTTTGAAGTAGATTCATTAAAAATTAAAAATACGAAACAATTTTTGAGCAAAACTGGGCTGAAAAAGCACAAAATTTGGTCGAAATATCATTATTTTTAATTTGGAAACCAGGTTTTTGAATTTCTTTAAGCATTTTGGACGTTTTTCAATAAGAAAATCAATTATTTCGGCAAATTTTCTCAAAAAAAGTCAAAAAACCACCAAATTAATTAAAAAATGAATGGTTTTATTTGTTCCTTCTTTTAGAAAAATTTATTAAAGAGGATAAGAAAGTCGCTAAGTTGGGTCAAAAATTACACTATTTTTACTTTTTTCGAATGTTTTAACACAGCTTTGATTACAAATGCAATTATTTTGCAAATTTTGTTAAAAACAAGGCCAAAAGTGATGTTATTTTTTGAGTGTTTAAACACGTTTCTGAAATAATACTTTTTTTTCAAGAAATTACGCAAAAACTGGCTGAAAAATTACCAAATTACCTCGAAGCTGTTTGTTTCTCTCGATTTAGTACTTTTTTGAACCAGAGACTCATTTATTTTGCAAGTTTTTTTAAAAACACGTCAAAAAATCACAAAAATAGAGCAAAATCTATATTATATCGTTTCTTTTACTTGATTTAAACAATTTTTGAGCAAAATTTAGGCAAAAATAAGCCGAAAAAATTCAAAATTTAATTGAAAATATTGTTATTTTTGCCTGTTTCAAACTCTGAAACACATGTTTGGAACTAAAATCTGAGGTTTTTATAATTTGCGTATTTTTCAATCATTTTGCAGCTTTTTTCGATCAGAAAATTTAAATTTTTTCAAAAATAAGTCAAAAATTACCGAACTAAATTACAAAACGGTTTTATTTGTTTTGTTTTTACTGGATTGTGGCACCAAATTAGGAGTTGTTTTTGCCTTTTTCGGGTGTTTAAACGGTTTTTGAGACGAATTTTACTAAAACTGGCTGAAAAATGTCCAAATTAAATCAAAATTTATATTTTTTAATTTGTTTCCTTCGATATAGTCTTTTTTTTCAAGTAGAAAAACTCATTTATTTTTCAATATTTTCTTAAAAACGCGTAAAAAACG